CCGGAGAGAGAGAGGCCCAGAAGGAGGACCCAGAAGAACTAAGGGCCCTCGCTGGCTCCCCACCCTCAGGGTCGCTGGACCGGGAACAGCTCCAAGCACTTCTAAAAGTGTTGGGCGGGGGGCGCTGTGGTGCAGCTTGGACTCCGGGCTTTTGCGCCCGCCACGCCCAGGTCACGCGACCTCCCCCGCACCCCACGCTACACACACACAACCAGGGCTAGTCAAGGATTCCGAGACGTGGCAAGTCCCGGCCTTGGACTTAGCCAGGTTATTCATAAACTCAGGAGGAGATAGGAGGCGGACTACGTGCGCGCCGTAGCTGGGGGCAGAGAGCCACCTCAAGGACAGAGAGTCTAGGGAAGGTCTGCAAATCTCTGCGGGCCGAAGGGGCGTTTAAAAGGAACTGACGGAACCGGAAAGGCCCGTAGAGACCCATGGGTGTATTAGGGAGAGTCTGCAAAGACCGCAGAGGGAAGCCAGGGGTCATCTAAAAAGTTGTCAAAGCGCCTAAGCGGAGGTCTGGAAAGGGCGGTCCCCACGAAAACAAGGCTTCCGGCAGCTAAACCCGGAAGGGAGGGCATGGAGGCCTGGGCCCCCATCTGTGACGCGAACATATCCTAAAGACGCTGGCACCCCTTAGGGCAGGGCCGACTGAAGCTGGAGCGGGCGAAAAGAGGCTGGACCCAGGTGAGAGAGAGAGGGGAGGGATAAAGAGGTCCTTAGAGATCGTCTGAAAAGTGCAAAACCAAATGAACTTTTATGGGCCGACAGCAAATTGTATTCCTTGCTAAGACATCTCCCGGTAGCGAACCGCCAACTTCTTTTGTGAGACCCGCCCCTCACCCATTAAGTATAGTTCCGTCGTCTCCGATACGCGAAGCAGCGGGTTCCCCACCTACTCCTCCCGCAGAGGAGCGAACACCCTTCCTTGGTCGCGCGCTTTCTCCTCCCCTCACCTCGCACGCACTTTATTCCACCTACCTGTCAATCATCATGCTCAGCTGTCCAGTTAGCGGGACAAGGGGGCGGGGCCGTCAGGGGCGCTGCGTGACGTCGGCAGCCCGCCGGCGGGGAAGCCGGGAGATGAGTGACGGAGGCGCGTGACAGAGGAGCGGTTGGCCGACGCTGCGGCAGCAGTCGGTGTAAACAAGGCTTCGCGCCGCTGCAGGCCCTGCGACCGCTCTTGGCTGGTGGGTTGTCTTGCGCAGAGCGGTAACCGCTGGCTTCAGTGGGTGGGGCTTCGCGGTCTCTTCCCTGCCACCCCACCTTGGCATACACACCCCCGGCACACCACGTGGGCGTGAAGCAAGGAAGGCGGGGGTGTTAGGCCGAATTCTAATGCCATTGGTTGTCGCTGCTGCCGGCTTTTGCAAGAGAGCACTCTGATTGGTCGGTAAGGGGGGCGTCGGGTTTGTCTCTGTTTCCTAAGGCTTTGATTGGTTATATGAGAGAAGCTGGTCAGGCACTTTCTTCCGCGAGGGCTTTTGATTGGTCGGCCAGAAAGGTTACCTGGGAACACCCCCCCCTTCGGGACTTTGATAGGTGAGTTTGAGGTATAAAAGTGAGAAATTCTTCTTCAAAAGATTCTCCTTAGTGAGCTAGAGTAGTGCCCTAGGCTTCACTCTGTTTTTTGCTTCACAGGATTAGGGAAGGTTTGTGTTCCGAAGCCTTACAGTTGTCACAGGCTAAAGAGAAGGGATCTCAGTCCCTAGGAAGGGTCGCCCTCCTAGAGATAGCTACCCCCATCTCAGGAAACCCTGGTATTTCTAGAACAGGCTTTGCTTTCACCAAACCCAAGGAGTCCCTGCACAGGACTTAAGAATGCTGTGACCAGAAAATGGGATCACGGAACAGCAGCAGTGCAGGAACTGGGTCCGGAGACCCCTCCGAGGGCTTGCCCCGAAGAGGGGCTGGCCTGCGTCGGAGTGAGGAAGAGGAAGAGGAGGATGAAGATGTGGATCTGGCCCAGGTACTGGCCTATCTCCTCCGCAGGTAACTTACCCTCTGGTGTGTCCCGACCAGCCACCACCACAGTACCTTGATCCCAATTCCAGATAGAGAAGTTACAGAGGATAGGGCATGGGATTAGCCCAGGAAAACTGTTCTGTTTGAGCAGAACAGCCTTTTCTGCTGGACACTCATATCATTCAGCTCCATACCCAATAAGAATGGTTCTTGCCTAGGGAATGGTCACCAAGATGACTCACTCTTGTGTTCGAAGGGACTGTTGAAGAGATAATCTTTAGCTATGACTACACAAATGTAATCTATTTTGCAAGTAAGCAAAAAAAAAAAAAAAAAAAAAAACGGGCGGGGAGCTGATGAGAAAGGAGTGATGTGAGGGGTGAAGAGAAGAGTTGAGGAGGTGGGTGTTGAACTTTAGTGAAGTTAATTACATGTAATATAAGTCTGTGGATCTACTTGAAAAACAAGTTTAAGTTAACCTAACTTACCCTGTTTTTGAAAGAATGCTTTGAGGCTAATGACTACCAGAAATTGTGTAGAGAGAGGTGAAACTGGCTGTGTTTCTTAGCTGTGGCTTCTCGAGGAAGAGAACAAGCTCGGGAATCCATTCAGAACACTGTGTTCTATACTGGACTCTCTGCGCAGAGGCTCAGAAGGGAATGCTCTCAGAATTTTTAGCTTTCTGGAAAGTCAACTTAGTAGGTCTGTCAACCTCCATGTAATGTTGGGGTTCTCTGCTCTGCTGTGAGAGTGAGAATTAGTTCCCTACTGTGTCTTCTGGGAGACTGAAATGACAGCAAGGTCTAGTCAGCCTCAAAACCCAAAATGGGAACAGTATGAGGGTTTGAGTACGAGGTAGTCTAAGAACTGGTTAGTCATTGACTCTGAATTTGGTTGGTTTGGAAAGGGATCCTCTCCCTGTATCATGAGAGTTCTCTCCATAGAGGCCAAGTGAGGTTGGTGCAAGGAGGAGGTGCAGCAAATTTACAACTCATCCAGGCCCTCTCAGACTCAGAGGAAGAGCATGACAGTGCCTGGGATGGTCGTCTCGGGGACCGATACAACCCACCTGGTAAGAGGAAAGGCAGACCAAGACCCTAACCTCAGAAGACTTTCATT